TATCATAAATGCTATAATTCTGTTATTAAATTTTTGTTAAGACTTTTGTACAATAAGTTGATTCTTCTTCGCTGAAATTAGTAAACACATTTTACAACTGTCTAATTGATTATATCTATTAACTAATACGTTAAGTTCTTCTTGAAAGAAAAATCGTAATAACAGAAACTAGTTTGGCGCCAACAACTATAGTTAAAATTTTATGCAATTAAATGAATGATGGATGTTTAGCGCATCAACGTTCGTTGTAAGATCAGCATGCCACTTCTTCAAATGGATACTTGAATTTGTGCTTATTTTATCTCATACAATGGCGTTAACTATTGACTAAACTAGTAACATGTTACGTTTACAAAAACGAAAAAATGGTTTTTAATAAAACATGAAAAATATTTTATTACCAAGAACTTTTTGTTAACGACTCAGTATGTAACTTCATTGTAATTCAATTTTTTTTGTGTATTATATAGCGTAGGTAATTGTTGCTGTTCAATCCAACACTCTTGATGCTATGGTTATATGAAGTTACACGTACACCAGAAGAATTCTCAGGTAATTTCATTATTGCAGGCGTTTTTTATGAAAGGATTTGAATCGGATATCATCTCAGTATGTAGTTCCGATTATATCATACACATATCGGTGTTGTCTTTTCATTTTTCTAAGCCTACTAAATTTTTTGGTCAAAAACTTACCAAAAATCACTTGTCTTTAAAAATAAGCGAAGAACTTATGAAAGAAAATAGTCACTTGTCTCTGTGGAACATATTCTGAATGTCCAAGCTTCAAATAATGTTTTGTTATTAAAAGAATACAGATGTCTTGTATAAAATCGTGTTTTCTTTGTAAACCTACCATGCATTCTAAAAAAATATTTGTGTTAACATCAGACGGCATAAGTCGGTTGTGAACAGTAGTAGATTCAGAATTTTTCTTAGGTAAATGCGAGAGGTACGTACGGTCACCATAGAAGCAAACAGTTCTGCTGGGCAAAACCATTTTCTTACTCGAAAAGTACGAGCCGCCGCTTATACAACTCACTGACTGAATCCGCAAGTGCTTGCGAATAGTCAGATTGATTCGCTTCTTACAAGACCTTTCGATCCGTTTTATCTTAACGTGACCTATCTTACATCTTATTTTCATCATTAGCAGTTGGAAGGATAGTTCTTTTAGAGGATCGTGTGAACATCTCAAGTGCTAATCATATGAATGGTTTTAGTAAGAAATCAAAATAAATTGACGAGTTTTGTCAACGAGATCATTATTTTTTATATACAAGTGGCAAAAGCAAAAAGAAAAGTGTTAACTAAAATATACAATAAACATAACACAAATACAGAATGTTGATATCTATCTATGTTTTATGCGTAAAAAAAAGGTTTCAATATTGGTCATACGACCACTTTTGACATAGACTGTAGATATTTCTTATGCAGTTTGTACGTTAATATTTTTCAAATGGAAATATAATTTTTTGAAATATTGAACAATAATTTCTAATTTATGTTTTAACGTTGACGAAATTGCAAAACTTTCTCTTTTTCACAAAAAAGTCCATTATACATATGTCAGTAATTGGAAAATAAAACATTTATTATATACGATGGTTGATATCTGATTACAACACCCTATGACAGGAAAGATTTTCATTCACATTTAATGCACATCTTATGGTATTATTCAAATTGAAAGTTGATATGCATCTATGTGTCAACGGCAAATATAAACATACGATGGATATATTTTAATACCACAGACAAAAGAAAAGATAGGTAAAAGTTTGAAATTACTTTTTTAATTCAACCTTGTAGTTAAAATAAAATAAAATACGATTCGATGAGTACGCACGCAACAGATGAAATTCTAATATTCTTTCTAATTCAATCAGGAAAAGTTATCATAGAATAGGAAATAGTGTTTTATACTAACTGGTAAAATATCATATCTAATAAGTCCGGATGTACTGTTGAATTATTGGAATGATATTTCAAAATAGCAGGAACATTTACGTCCGATTGATTTGCTTCCATGAAGCGTATTATTTGTTTTCAAGTAACAATTTTTAATGTCATAATCAATCTTCTCTCGATAAAAATCAACGTTCTCGGCATTATTCAGCGCCGACTAGCACAATCAAAATATATTAGAGCTTTTCTATGGTTGAACAAAAAAACAAATAATTCATCTACATTTGGCTATTTATAGTTATTTTTAACGTTATAAAATATTCATAATTAAATAAGCAGAAAATTGTCTGATTTCGAATAATGAGTGTCATTTTTTTTTGCCATTCTGCTCTCTCATTCTCTTTAGGGTAAAATGATGTACGTCGATAAAAAGATTTTCTCTTTGATCAAGTTCAGAGTAATAACAAGTAGAGCACGGAGAATTTTGTTTTTAGTTTCGATCTTTTTATCGCTTGTAAGTAACATAATTCAATATTTAGCTCTCATATGTAGACTCGTGATAGAAAAAATTCTAAAAGTTGTAGGATCCAATTTCTAAGAATAATAATAAGATCGAAAAATATTTTAAAAAAATAGACTTTTCTAAGATGGATTGGAAATTTGACACAAATTTGGCACACTTTTTGAATTATCAGATTACTTGAGGTCTATATGACGAAATCAAAATTGAAAGAGTTACGTGAAAGACGACAGTATGCTGAGGAGTTTAAAGTGTTTATGGTCATTAATTCGAAATACTTAGTTGTTATTTTATTATATTTGCTAGCTTTCTAATAAATAGAACTGTGACAAGTTACAGATTTTCTTTTTTCTTTTCTTTCTTATTCCGTTATAATAACGTTGTGAAGAATAAAATACGCTTTGAGTATAGGATACACTTAGCAATCACAGTACACTTAGCTTCTTCTAGACTAACGAGAAAACGGAAAGAGAAAGAACAACAGTCGTTTATAGAGATGTTAGGGTATTTTTCTCTTTCTGTCTTCTCGTTAGAAGTAGCTTTGTATCATAGATTCAAAGCGTATTTTCTTCTTCACAACGTTATTATAACGGAATAAGAGAGAAAAGAAAATTTCTATTTTTCGTAGTTCTAGATGTCAAAGAGGGAGAACGAGAGAGCTGCAAAAAAGAAAAAAATGACATATTTACTACAATTTTACATTATTCTTTTTCCTTGAATGGAATAAGAAATAGAGAGAATTATTGCACACGCAATCTAACTTAAAGTTGTGCGTAAAACTAACAATTGGAGTAGAAAAAAAGAGAGATAATTATCACTGCGGGTGAAAACGCAAAAATAAATGAACTATACATATAAGTTGAGTTTATTGAAAACAAAAAATTAGATATATTAGATTACGTGGTGGAAAGTAAAACACAACATGCTATGAAAAATACTAAAAAACATAACAGGTACATCTTTGTAAGTAGGTAATAATATAAAGGTTCAAACCATTTTTAGTAGTAAACGGTAAATATTAAAAGTTTCTTAACTTGATTTTAAGCGATTTCATCTGAAACTTTGAAAATCAAAAGAACGTGATTTTTTTAATCTGACTTTATGGATATATTAGGACTCTTATACTTATCTTGTACATACTTGTTCCATAATTTTTTCTGCTCTCTATCGTCTTATCATAAAATTTTTCTAACGATATCGCGTTCACATCCCACGCACTTCTGTTCTAGTTTATGCTAAATTGTCTAGTAAGTTGTTTTGCTTTAGGTTACCATAGCGCAATTAGCTATTTTCTCCACATGTTTCCGTTAATAGACCATGGATATTGTCATCACAGCATTTGGTGAATTTATTTGGATATCCGCATGTGGCATTATTAATTTTTGTGTTAGTTCGGGTATTAGTTGTTTAGTTATATTTGTTAGTTTATTGTGTGCCATCGGCACATCGGCATTTTATCGTTGGACATTAATGCGAGAGAAAAGAGATCAACTTCTATTGGAAAATCAAATAAAAATTTCAGATATGGAAGAACCGCCAATTGAAGAACAACAAGTAGAAGAACAAACTAATAATGAACCAATAGTTAATGCTGACAATAAAGAATTGCTTGATGAAGAAAATAATGATAATGAAATAGTCTCAGTTGACGATATACAAATAAATGAATCAGACACAACATCGGATGTTATTATTGATACAATTGAAGGAACAGAAGAAGAAATTCGACAAAAACAACTTGAAAATATCTGTCGCTTATTAAACGAACAAAATTTAACATCAAATTGGTCAACAATTGATTTTCTAGATCAGTTAAGAATGTACGGTCTACATGACGGATTTGAACCATCAGACGACGAGTTAGCCGTTTAAACACTATTTCTGTTTTTCACAACGAATGCTCGAAAAACATCGGTCCAGATGTAAGCCAGATACTTTAATAATCATTTATTGCATTTTCTCATGTTTCTTCCTTTTCTATTGTCGTATTGTTGTGAATTAAACTACGCTATTAAAAATGTCTTTTACTGTCACTTTAGATTGTTTCTTCAAGTAGTTGATTTCTAATTTCCTAACCAATTCAATAGAACAGCACTTCAAGATGTTCTAGAGTATATGTAAAATAAAGGCTCTAAAGAGGAGCACACTGGGACTGATTTCTAGAACCTGAGAGTTCAGAAATGCATTAGTCGTTCGCCACACTTGAAACGATTATTATTGAAATTCTTCATAAACTTCATTACAGCGCAACACTAAATTTGCTTTACAGAAAGAAGAACACATAAAAAGACGAGAAAAAGTAAAAAGCTTACGACACTCGGTATTCCAAGGCGGTCACCCATCCTAGTACTAACCGAGCCCGACGTTGCTTAACTTCAGTGATCGGACGAGAACTGGT